AAAAGAAAAAAAAAAAAAACAACAATAAAAAACCTGCCATCAGGAATCCTATACCTGACAAAGTTGTCCTTCAGATTGAAGAAGAGATAAGAGTTTTCCAAATAAAAGCTGAAAGTGTTCATCACCACTAAAGCAGCTAGAAATATTAAAGGGTGTTCTTTAAGCTGAAACAAAAGGACAGCAATTAGTAAGAAGAAAATGTATGAAAGTATAAAACTCATCAGTAAAAGCAAATATAATTAAATTCAAAATATACTAATGTAATGATGGTGGGTAAATCACATAACTCTAGTATAAAGACTAAAAGACAGGCACCTGGGTGGCTCAGTCGGTTAAGCGACCGACTTCAGCTCAGGTCATTATCTCATGGTCTGTAGGTTTGAGCCCCACATCGGGCTCTGTGCTGACAGCTCAGAGCCTGGACCGTGCTTCGGATTCTGTGTCTCCCTCTTCCTCTTCCCCTCCCCTGCTCGTGCTCTGTCTCTCTCTCTCTCTCTCTCTTTCAAAATTAAACACTAAAAAAAAATTAAAAAAGAAAAGACTAAAAGACGAAAGTAGTATAAATAACTATAACAAAAGATACAGAATGAATGGATAAAAAAAAAACAAGATAAAACTAGATGCTGCCTACAAGAGACTCATTTCTGCTTTAAGGACACAAAGACTGAAAGTGAAGGGATGGAAAAAGATATTCCATGGAAATGGAACACAAAAGAGAGCAGGAATAGCTACACTTATATCAGACAAAACAGGCTTCAAGCTAAAGATTATAAGAGATAAAGAAAGCCATTATATAATGATGAAGGAGGTCAATTCATCCAGAGGATATAACATTAGTAAATATTTATACACCTATCATAGAAGCATCTAAATATATAAAGCAAATATTAACAGACCAAAAGGGAGAAATGACAATATAGTAATAATAGTAGGGGATTTTAATACCCCACTTTCAACAATGGATAGATCATCCAGGAACACCTGGATGCTTTAAGTATATTATAGATCTAAGTATATTAATTATCTATCTATATATAGATATGTATATGTATATATATTTTAATTATATTAGGAACCTGTGTGAATGGTATCTTGGCTTATTGTTTTTCATTGTTTATTGAATTCTCAGTGCATTAAACATAATACCTACAAAGGACAGAGAGAAAGAAGGGCAAGATTTCCCATGTTCATATTCTGAGTCTTATTTTTTCAATTTTTATTTATTTATCTTGAGAGAGGGCTAGAGAGTGAGTGAGTGTGTATGAGACGAGGAGGGGCAGAGAGAGAGAGAGAGAGAGAGAGAGAGAGAGAGAGAGACGGAGGGAGAATCCCAAGCAGGCTCCATGCTGTCAGTGCAGAGCCCGACATGGGCTCCATGTCACAAACAGTGAGATCATGACCTGAGCCAAAATTGAGTCAGACACTTAACTGACTGAGTCACCCACCCACATTTCGAGTCTTATGCAAAAGTATCTTCAACCTTTCACACAAGCTGACACTCTCAACTCTAGAGAAAGATGACAAAACACAAGAATCTACTATCCTCATTTTACCTCCTACCTGTAACTACTTTCGAAAAATCCCTACACAGAACAAAGTTATTAACCCCAACAAAGTAGGAAATTGGCAACATGTACAATTGCAGTGAGAGTTGGAGACTTCTACATCCCAATTTTCCATAATTATTATATGGACTATATAAGATGACTGCTTTTCCCTCTTCTTAGGACCCTCAACATCTCACTGAGCTCCTTGACCAAAACTCTTTGATAAAATAGATAATTTCAGGAGGCAGTGTGTTTACCTTCGCACACGTTCCACTTTGTCATCTGTCCGAAGATATTTCTTGGCATTTTCTCCTTTGCCAAACCCTGCACAGTCTTCTGGGTTGGCAAAAACCTATTCCAAATACCAAGGAATAAAAAACGCTGTTCAAATACCAAATAACAGGTGAGTATTCTACCTGATAAGTTATTTGGATTTTAACAGAAGAAATACAGGCATCCAGATTGGCCCTTCGGAAAAAATTCAGAGCTCAAGCACAGGTAAGGGTCTATACTTTAAATCTTCATTTTTATTAACAGTCCAAAATGTTTTTAAAGAAAAGCATAAATAGGGACTTAAATAAAACCAATGTATAAAAATAGCAAAAAGGAACCAAAAAGGGAAAAGAGCATAATTTTAAGTTATCATTGACTATTATTATGGTGAATTGGCATTTTTTTTCACAGTGATGTTGATATAACTTCTCTCAAGGGTATTAACATTTCCAACTGACTGGTTCATAGGAAAGTTGTAAGTTTACCAGCCAAGGATGTTAGAGAACGGGCAAGAAACATAAAAGAGTGAGAGGCGGGAAATGTATTTTGTACTTTGTTAGGATATGTGTATCTCTTTTCTTTTGCTGAATTAACACTTTGGGTTCAAAAATACAGTGAAATATAAGAAGTTGAATTGCATTCCTATAAAGGACATGTTCTATGGCATATATTCATTTATTTCTTCCTGCAATGATTATGCTCTTTGATATGATTTCCCCATCCCTTGAAACTTGAAAAATGCATTTAAGAAATATTTAAGTATGCTCCACTGCTTAATAATTCAAAGCAAAGAAAAACATGAACTACAAAATTAGCCTAATTTACACTTAGAAATCCATAAATATTATAATATTTTTCTTAATATGATACAAACATTTATTTCAGATTAAGATGTTGAAGAGAACTGATGAGAAAGGACATGATACAGGATCAGCTCTTGAAGTCAGCTCTGTCTGGCACACACTAGATGTTCAGTAAACATGTTTCAAACAAGTAAACAAATGTATTACAATGACAAGTGCATGAGATTTGAGTTTAAAGCAGTCTGAATTAGAATCTCAGCATCACCCTTTATTGGTGCATAACGTCTCTGATCTTCAGTTCCTCAACTGTAAAATGGGGGGGCTAACCCTCATTTCCCGTGATAATATGAACGATGATGTAAAATGATCCTGTGATTTCACACATACCAAGAGCACCACACGGCTACATATCATTGGTATTCCACAAATCTGAGTTCCTTTCTCCTTTCCTGATAAGACGGGGAACATTTCTGCTATGCTGCGTGCCATGTTTCTAGAGGACACTGTGGAGCTGGTGGTAGGCAACTACCTTACTGCTTGCTGCTCTAACACCTGGACCTATTAGAGCCTTAAACGTGTCTGTGTATGCCCGTGTTAAAATGTAAATCTCCTTGGGAAGGAATTATACCTCAAGACAGTAACAGGGAAATATCTTAAGGATGACTGTGAGCTCTGGACAAAAGCAAGTCTCTGGGCAAAAACTCAGGACAGGCACTCCTAGAGAAATAGGTGTTTCCAGGAAGTAGTTGCTGACGAGGGACGACACCAATGAAAATAGTTTCTGTGTCAAGGTAGCTTTGCTCTACCCCCCTTACTGTGTTAGAAACCCTGCTTGAGTACAGGATATATGTTCCAAAATCTTTCTAATACCTTCCCCAACCCTCCATTTTAGGAAAAAAATCACATTCTTATAATGCTGGGCAGAAATAGCATCTACTTAAGAAGTTGGAACTACACAAAATTCAAATGTCTTGTCCCAGTCATAAAAGACTCTATTGATAATCATAAGAACTTAATTCTGTCCCCAAAGGTATATCCTTCTCCTGTCATAGAACTGAAGACACCAGTTAACTGTCTGGAAAATGACTATTTTCTAAACTCTAGCAGGCAAAATTAACTCCAAAATTATAGAACGTTTCCTTGAAAACTTTGATACTACAGGAATCTCATATACTAATATGAGGAACATACAGGAATCTCAGGAATCTCATACACTAAGAAGCATGGAATCTGCTTATAGAATGCAGGAATCTCATATACTAAGCAGCATGACAAAAGGTAAAAGCCACAATGAAAACAACCACTTAGTCGTTTCCAGGAGAAAGTGCCTGTTCCATAAATATATCAGATGCATCTGTACCAAATGACTGCATAATGCATTTGCAATATTAAACAATGTGCCATTGGGCTTTACCAAAAAAAAAAAAAAAGTAAATTAAGAAAATTGTTTCCCCAAATTTCAAGTCTTAAAGGAAAATATCGCCCCTAAATGTCTTACCTTTCTTGTCAATCTAAAGAATGCAGTTGCAGTACTCATAAACATCATTTTTGAAAGAATAATCGTTGTATAGGAAGCAAAGGCCATGAATACTTCATTTTCCATAAGCTCAGTGAGGTCAACCATTTTTCAATTTTGGTCTGGAATCTTAAAAATATTTTAGACAAGATAGGAAAAGCAGACATAAATACCCCAAATAACTTGACAGTCACATAATGTTCTTACATTGCAGCATTAACTATATTGTTCTTAAAAAAGGATCTTAGGTTTATTCACAGAAGAAATCATCTCTTTTTCAATTTCAAAATAAATAGTATCAGGTTGTTTTCTAGTTCTATAACATTAAGCCTGAAGATATCAAAAAGGCATGGAGCGAAAATGAAAATGTAGGGGTATGAGAAGCAAAGATAAATGGGCAAAATTCTATAAAGAGAGACTAAAATCATATTTCTGCATCAAACTGCAAGCTGGACCCAAAAGACCAGAGTTCATGGACTGATCTCATTAGAAACATCAAATTATATACATAGTAGCACCATTAATGTTTGATTGGGAATGCCTAAATTCTAATACATGTCCTGCTTTAGAAACCCAGCTTATAGCTTTTTGCCATTTCAATAGTGTTTAGGATCCCAGGCTACAAGATTTGAATTCCAGTCCCACCATTTGGTTAACTTTGGTTCAGAGATTCGACCTCTCTGAAACGAAATTCTTCATTTATAAGATAGCAATAGTAATGGCTCCTAACTTACTGGTTTGTTGCCAGGATTTAATTGAGATAGCATGTGGAATAAATTTATACTTAGCACAGCACCTGGCCCATGAAACACCCTCAGTAAGGTTTATTATATTGTTATGATCATCATTATCAGCATGATTATGGTCATCATCAATACCAACACAAGTGAAGAAGGGGAAGCAGGATATTAGAAACAAAATGCTAGGCAAATGCAAAGTAAGGAATTGGCATTGATGGTACTTTCATAGAAGGAATAAGGGAAGAAAGATTATCTTTAATTTTTTAAATTTAATTTAATTTATTCTATTTTATATTATTTTTGAGAAAGAGAGCGAGCACACGAGTGAGGAGGGGCAGAGAAAGAAGGGGACAGAGGATCCTTAACGACAGCAGGGAGCATGACTTGGGGCTCGAACTCATGAACCGTGAGATCATGACCTGAGCCAAAGCCAGACGTTCAACTGACTGAGCCACCAGATGCCCCAGGAAGATTATCTTTATATAAGTCTTCAGGTTACTTCACATTGCAATGAATGTTACTGTCTGGAGTTGGAAGTATAATTGGGAATGTACTCAGAAGGAGTAGACTGGTGATACTGAAGTCAAAGTGGGTAGGGATTAAGTAAAGCTTCAAATTTAAATTTCCTACCCTGTCCGGTAGCCATTCTCTTTAATGTCCTCTCATTCTATGATCAGCCCTGCTATCTGCTTCTTCTATCTTGTCCACATAAACACACATCTTTTCTCATATCCACCCTTGGCATGTAGTACTGTCTCATACGCAATGTCCACTCCTGCCTTTAAAACTCAACCCCTGAATGCCACCTTCTTAGAGTGACATCTATCAAATTCTGATCATTCTATCCATCTACCAATAATCTATAAATTTATATCTCTTCTTATACTGTGTTACTGGTCATCCTGTGTCTACGCATTGCTGTTAGTGTGATCGAAACAACATACATATACGCTTAATTTTGTAAGAGCTCACTAGGTGTCCAATTCTGTCATGTACTTTATATGCATTATTTAATCTTTGTAACTATACCATTACAGTCCTTATAACTATATCCATTTCATAGATGAAGAAAATGTGACTCCAAGATGTTAAGCAGCCAAGTTAGGACACAAACCCATGCCTACGACTTCATATCTTGTACACTAACTACACTGTACTATCTTCTTCAAGAGACTGCAAACTGCTGGGGTGCCTGGGTGGCTCAGTCAGTTAAGCACCCAACTTCAGCTCAGGTCATGATCTTGCAGTTCACGAGTTTGAGCCCCGTGTGGGGCTCTGCGCTGACAGCTCAGAACCCGAAGCCTGCTTGGGATTCTCTCTCTGCCCCTCCTCTGCTCACACTCTATCTCTCTCAAAAATAAAAAAAAGAGAGACTGCAAACTGTTTAATTCTCATTCAACTAACATTGTTGAATCCCTGCTCTGTGGCCAGCTGGCACATCTTACATCTGTTATCTTGTTTCCTCTTCCAATGACGCTACAGGGTAGGTACTATTATTCCCATTTTTCAGGTAAAGAAACCAAAGCTTCCCAAGTAACCCCTGTTTTACAAGGTAGGCTGAAAAGGTACTTTGGATTTAAGCAAACAGAAACTATATGTCCCCATTTAAGAAACAAAACCAAATACATACAATAAACTAATCCACCTCCACAGGTCAGTAGTCTTGAAAGCACAGAATGTTATATAAGCTCTCAGTGCAAGACAATACTTTTAGTGCCATTTAACGTATCTGATCTTGTTCCACTAGTGGGGGCAGGGGTGGGGAGGAAGTCATGAATAAACTGCACTATCCCTCAGAGTTCATGTAATTAGCTTAATAAGGGATCCCTAAGCCTCTGGACAGAGATCTGAAGAAACATAGCAGGAATGTTAATTTTAAAAAATTGAGAAAAGTTTATCAAGCAGGATTGTTGTTATTTAACAATAATTTTACATCTAAAACAGTTTCTGTAGGTCTCTACGAATGTTTGCAGAATGAAATTTATTTAGCAGTGGAATGCCCAGAGAATGGTCTTCCCTTTGTGAAAACTGGTATTGAAAAAGTAGAGGGGTGCCTGGGTGGCTCAGTTAAGCGTCCGACTTCGGCTCAGGTCATAATCCCACAGCTCGTGGGTCCGAGTCCCTCATCCAGCTCCGTGCTGACAGCTCAGAGCCTGGAGCCTGCTTCAGATTCTGTGTCTCCCTCTCTCTCTGCCCCTCCCCAGCTCGCACTCTCTCTCAAAAATAAATAAACATGAAAAAAAAATTTTTTTTTAAGAAAAAGTAGAGAAAAAGTGGAAGCTTTCCAGAACAGCTGGTGGTAAAAGCACACAAAGATGTCAGCAGTTGGAGGAAAAGGGCAATGAGAGGTTTTTTTTCTTTAAATGTGAACAACACATTGGAAGTGCACCTCACACAAAGTTTTTCCAACACAGAGAATGTGGCTGAACTCCTCAGGTCTGTGGCTTGGGGAAATGGGCCAATGCCAAGCTTCTGATTTCATACCACAAACCACCTCTCAGAGACCTGAGGGCCAGGTGAGGAATAATGAAGGTAAGACATTAAGAAATAGAGAAGGGATTCATGGCATGGAATAAAATGATGCTGGACTAGACTTCTTTTCAAAGCTGATTTGTCAGTAAGTTGCCTTGAGCCCACGTCATGGCTGGACACTGTAGTCAAAATGCAATTACTGAAAGGTTTTTACTAGAAAAGGTTGCCAGGAGGGAGGAGAGCAATATAGTAGTACTAATAATTAAAAGAGTAAAATGTTAGGTGTTTTGAGTATTCTAGGAGTGAGGTACAAATCATCGAAGAAAAGACAAAACATGCAAGTTGGTTATGAATTATGGAAAATAAAATATTACGGGGCGCCTGGGTGCTTTAGTTGGTTAAGCCTCTGACTCTTGATTTCGGATCAAGTCATTATCTTACAACTTATGGGATTAGGCCCTACATTGGGGTCTGCATTGTCAGTGCAGGCCCTGCTTGGGATTCTCTCTCTCCTTCTCTCTGTCCCTTCCCCACTCTCTATCTCAAAATAAATAAATAAACATTAAAAAAAGAAAATAAAATATTACAATGATGTCATATTTGTATAGTGTACTGTTCCTTTCATTGTCCATCATGGGTCAGCACAGCAGAGAATACCTCCATCATTTTTGCCAGAGAGTAGGGCTCAGTCCCCTAAGGTGGAGGTGACTGCTTCTCCTCTGAAGGGACAAGGAGAAGAGTGTTGAGCACACAGAGACTCTGGAACTAGACTAGAGTCCAGGTGAATTAGATTCTGCCACTTACTGGTGGGGATTTAACTTCTCGGGGACTTACCTCTCCTGTATAATGAGGTTAATACTTCCTTTCTCACGGGATTCTTGTGAGTGTCAAATGAGTAAAGTCTGAAGACCTTGGAAAAGTACTCGGACCTGGTAAGTGCTATATAAGCATTTGGTAAATAAGTTCCTACTTTGGTACTGTCCTAGGCACTGAGGAGATCATTTTAGAGTTTTCAAAAAGCTTTTATATGATGTCACCTGATCTAGAAAACTCTAAGGTAGTCGGAGCAAGTAATATTTGTCTCTGCTTTTAAGGTATAAGGAAACCGAGGCCTGGAGAGGTAGAGTGAGTAATCTGACCCAAATTCACAGTAGAGGGACCAAGACTAGAATCCAGTTTTCTTAAGTGTTCAGCTCATCATGGGCTATCCACCATCAGGGCTAAGAATTCTAGACTACTTTGGTTTTCTGGGAGCCTTTTTCTGCCCAATCTCATCTTCCTACCTTGCCCTCCCCACCCAGCACCATGCCTACCCCCACTGTATCTATTACAGTTGAGTCTATCTCTCAACTATGGACTATTCCTCTTGTCTTTACAGGCTCTTGGCCAAAAAAGGACAAAGTTCTTATTTATGGTGGCCTTGTCACATCAATATTGCGAAACACACAAAAAATCTGGGCACACATCTCCGGAGCCATGACTCTGCAACTTTTCACCTTCTAAAACAAATAGAACGCTACCACAAGATAAAGAAAAAAGATGATTCAATGGCCTTTTTGCTGGTTATCAATTCTAGAATTTCTGGGCGGGTTGAGGCGACTGCAGCCCTGGCCTCCTATACTTCAGAACCCAGGTGCTGGGAGGAAAATGCTGAGGGATCTGAGTGGATGTGAGGTAAGGCTGTTCTCAGGGGCCAGTGCTGACCTCCCTTCCCAGCCTCAGTGACTAATCGAGTCCTCTCTCAAACAAACCCTTAGAAAAACTGTACTTGTCCACCACAGAGCAATATTCAAATCTGGGCTATTTGTCATTTTAGAAAATGACCAAAGGTGGTCAACGAACACACATAGTCCTCTTATTTTGGAAACAGGACAGGACCACAAACCCTATTATAAT